ATGGAGTCTAAAAGTGGAAGTGATCTCTGCTGGAGAAAAACATAGCCTTAGGGGAGAATGGGATGCTGCAAGAAGAGTTAAGCATCCACTTCTGTTGCCTGCTGATCTTCACTGGTAAGTGCCCTTTGCATTCTCCAAATGTGGGTTTAGAACCATGTTATTTGCAGAGATAATGCCTACTTTGGTTCTAGCATGCAGTTACAATGACAAAGATAGAGGAATTTCCCTATCTTAGTGTCTGGATTTTTGGCACAGTCCTTCAGCTCTGAGACACTGATTCAGGCTGGTGACAGTCTGTTCCTTGTGAATGCCACTGTTATAGCTGCATACAAACCTATTCTTAAAAACCCATGATTACTAGAGAACATTTTAAAGAGAAAAATTTCAATACTGTCCATTGTTTGTCACACAGCTACTGCGCTACATGGTTACCGGTTTATATGTCTCATTATCCACTTTGAAGGTGGATAAACTCCTGCCAACCTAGCAGTTCGAAAGCAAGAAATTGCAAGTAGATAAATAGGGACCACTTCAGTGGGAAGGTAACAGCGTTCCATGGGCCTTGGCGTTTACTCATGCCGGCCACATGACCACGGAAACGTCTTCGGACAGCAGTGGCTCTTTGGCTTCAAAACGGAGATGAGCACTGCAACCCTAGAGTCGGACTCGACTGGCTTTCGAGAAAGGGAACCTTTACCTTTACCTTTATCCACTTTGACAAGCAAATTATTTCAAAGCCCTGTTTTGTTTTCACCTAAATAAGTAGATAGCATAAAAGGGAAAAATATCTAGAGTCCATTAAAAAATGGTAAATTCTTCCTACGTTTGCAAGTATACCTTATTTTAAGCAACATCTAGAGTTGCCAGTTGTCAAAACAAAAGCAAAATAGATGCTGAATATACATTTCCTGGTCTAATAGCATGTGATGGAGATGCAGAGCTCTAAAACATGGGACTTACATGATGTGTTATGGGGCTGATAGTTTTTGATAAGGGAACATATGCTGGGATGCCATTCTCTCTTTCTTGTACATTATTTTTAGCCTGTGGTTTTGGTTGTCTACTGGAGCGACAAACCCTGAGTTATGGACCCCAGCCACTAATGAGTGAACAAAACACTCATGCACAAATTCTTGTGACTGTGAATGAGCCTATCACTGAATGGTCAGGTATTTGAACAAAAAATGTTCCTTCACAGCTGGGGATCTAAAGCCATCAGCATCTTAGGAGGTAACACCTGCTGGCTAGCAAAAGAGGGCAGAGAACAGTTTAGAATCAGAAGCAGACAGACTGAGTCTGTTGGACTTTTAAGCTGGAGTTACCTAGAACTGTGGTGCAGTCTTTAGGAGGGGACAGAAATGGTGGCTCTGGAATCTGAGGCAGGATCAGCTAACATGCTGCCTACTGCAGGACATGATGTACTTCCAACGTGCTCTGATTGTATATGTGTAAATATTACAAAGACACCGCAGGTCTCCAGTGCTCTCTCTTATCCAAAGGAAATGAAACCCTGTAATATTACCCTGGGCTTCTTTGCTGGTTGGGGAAGTGGGGAGTGCATAATTAATACTATCCATGTGACTTTTGACTCATGCACTGTGTATCATGGCCAGGGAAAAGAAAAAAAAAAGAATTGATCACCAGCATTGCAGAACAGGCCTTTTCTGGCTCTCCATTTTGACTTCTGGAGAAATTCCATAACTTCATTGTCAGGTCCTGTTTACTTGGCCGCTTTAGGGGGTTTTTTTGGAACAGCTTATAGGGTTGGCTCTGACATGAACATTTGTTCTCATTTTAGACAGCTGTGCCGGGCAATACTCAAATCAGGTATTTGCCCTCTTTTCAAACAATCTCACCACCCACAGCCTTCAGTACAGCTGAGGCATTTCTGTCTGTCAAGACTGCACAGTCCCCCTACATTTGTTTCATTTCTGCTCCCCGGGCAGGGGTGCTGTGATTGCCAGCCTCTAGTCGATGCCTCTCCTCCAGCTCATGCTCACATACCATCCCCTGTGGCAATTACTTTCCCATGTAAAGCAATGCTGTCACATCATGGGAGTGTTTAGTATATTTTTAGCCTCTTTAATGTGTTTTAGCAGCTGGAAATGAGGAGAGAATTATAGTCAAAAGGTAACAACTGTGGGATCTCATGGCTGGGGAGGAGGGGGCAGCTGGGCTTCAGCTGTGCAGATTAAAATCACAAAAGTGCCTGCCTGACAAAATGAGCCTGGGTAAGAGCAAGTGCAGGAGTGGAGTAGAGCTCGATCAGACATAAGCAGAGCTGAGGTCTGACAGACACGGAAAGGATGCTGTGAGGTCAGCTTGTCTCCAGATATCCCATCTCCTGCATGGAACCTTGGGCTGATGCCACTTGCTTTGTTGGAGCCCTTTTTGGAGGCGAAGATCATATTTTGTATTTCCTGGCAATGTACAGTGTCCCTTGGGAATCCAATTCAGTTGTCATTGTAGAGCCTCATACTCTGGCCACCAGCGGGGGATAGGGGGTAGGGTTGCCAGATCCAGGTTGGGAAACTCCTGAAGATGGGGGGGGGGGAGAGCCTGGAACAGACAGGGACCTCAGTGGGGTACAATGCCATAGAGTTGACCTCCAAAGCATCTATTTTCTCCAAGGGAACTGATCTCTGTAGTCTGGAGATGAGCGGTAATTCTGGGGGATCCCCAGGTCCCAGCTGGAGGCTGGCATCCGTATAAAGTTACAATGGTTCCGTTATTTTCAGAAAGTGTGTGATAACTCTGGTGTAAGTAGATGCAGATCCATTATCAATAGAACAAAGTTTGAGTCTAGTGGCACCTCCAACAAAGTTTAATTCTGGGTATGATGTGGTGTGTATGCACACGAAAGCTTATGCCCAGAATTAAACTTTGTTGGTCTTAAAAGTGCCACTGGACTTTGTTCTGGTGTAAGTCATTCTAGATTTGTGGTCTCTGCCCAAGGCTAGGAGCCATTGTTTCTTGTGCTTTCAAAGACAGGGCAATTCCAGTGCTGTCATTCCAAGAAGTCCAAATTCAGGATGGTTTGGGCAAACTGTGCTCTTTTGCACCCAAAAGAGATGGGCATGTAGAAGCATTCTTAGGAGCTCAGGTATAACAACCTGGTCTGGAAGCATCCTTGTGTGCACCCATAATTGTAACATTACTACTTTTGTTGTCTGAATGTAAAGAGAAATGTGTTATTTAACAGAGTGGTATTTTCAGTGCTGTCCCAAAGAACAGTCCAGGATATGGTGCTTGAGGCAGAAAATCCAAATGGTGCCTCCCATCACATTTAAAAGACAATAAAATATTGTAAATGTAGTGGTAACTGAACACCTGTCATCTGGAACAACCACCTGACCCCTGCACCAGGCCTTACTATTGTCTGATTACTGGATTTTCTGCCTCCAGCAATTTGCCATAATCCAAACACAAACACTTCTGTGGGATTGCAGCATCTTCACAGAGGGGGCATACATTTGATTTTAATGGCTGTTATGTGCACAAAATCAATGAAGAGTACAAAATCTGTTCACTGAGCCTTGGTGGTGGTGGAAAGTGCCATCAAATCACAGCCAACTAATGGCGACCCCATAGTGTTTTCAAGAGATGTTCAGAGGTGGTTTGCCATTGTCTGCTTCCATGTAGCGACCCTGGGCTTCCTTGGTGGTCTCCAATGTTCCCTCTAAGCTGTGGAGTCTTGTGTGCAAAAATTCTACGTTGTGAGCTACTGGCATTAAAGTTGTGAGCAAGCGATTTGGCTACTGCATAAATTACTTTGCTCCGGAGCCATCCTTCCTGAGCTAAGACAAAAATGTGTGAGCTGGAGGCTAAAAAACTGTGAGCTAGCTCACACTAACTCAGCTTAGAGGGAACACTGGTGGTCTCCCGGCCAAATACTGGCCAGGCCAATCCTGCTTAGGTTCCAAGATCTGACCATAGCAGGCTAGCCTGGACCATCCAGGTCAAGGCTGTTGTAAGAATGAGAAGAGAACTTCACTGCCCTTACCATAACTTAGTCCCATGTTACAGATGGTAAACTGAGGGTTTAAAACAGCAATTTAGCAAGACTTCTTACCCTGGGGTATAATAGCTGAGCAAAGGTTAATGTTTAAATACAATCCATCAGATGTCACTGAGCTCTATAGATGACATTCGTTTTTTTCAAAGGGAACCTCAGCCTTATGAGACTCTTTTGTCATGCTTGGAGCGGCACAAAATTAAATTATGAGTTTTAAAAATTAAAATCTGGAAAACAAGGCCATTCACACCACATATCCCAGGAATTAACCATATTTAAACCCTGTCCTTACAGACAACCTCTGTTCAAAGTGCTAATTTTTAAATCATAAAAACAATTTCCAGTTTTTGATTTAAATCACACACAGTATCTTGCTCCTAACAGAGTTCCTCTGGGCAAGAGCCCAGGCTATTCAGACTGTGGCCTTTGATGCCTCTTCACATTCCATACTCCATGCTGTTTTCAGCTTTCTGTACTCCAAACTCTAGTGCATTGTAAATCCCATCCAGTTAATTGTATTCATTTGCACTATGTGATCTGCCTCGAGTCCCAGTGAGAAAGGTGGACCATAAATGATGCAAATAAAATTTTTAAACAAACATAAATCATTGTTTTCAGTACCTTCAATGGCATTGAACTAATCTGTCCAGGAGCTGTAACATTTCTTGCTCCCAGGGGACAATTTGGTTGACCGTTCTAGTCTCACCTGAGTCTGTGGGGCTACACCCACAATAAATGGATATAGAAATACACAGGTAGGGTGCAGCCTTCCCTGCCCTCTCCTCCTTGGCTCAGAAGGCTGGGTCTGGGAGAACACAAACTCCAGGCCGTGCTTTACTGCTGTCCTTGGAGCACAGAAGCACAGCCTTTTCATTCTAAGACGTGAGTAGGCGCAGATGCAGAAAAGATCCAGACCGGATTTTGTCTCCTCCCCAGCGGCATAGCCTGCGACTCCCGGGCTCCGTGCCTGCAGTGGGGTGTTCAAATCTCAGCGAGGGAAGGAAAGCTTTACTCAGGGGCTGCAGGCGGAGTGAGAAGAGCCGAGTCTTATCTGGTCCGTCTGGAGATCGGAGCTCTAAGCAGCAAACATGGTAAGTCAGAAGTGGCCGTCGCACTCCTCTGGGCAGCTTTGTTGGGTCCTGCTTCTGTAGAGATCTGTCCAGCCCGACTGGGTGGTTCTTTGTTCCTGGCTCTTTTCGGACACCACCAGCATTCCTTTCCCCCTTCTCCAAACCCTGCGCCAGAGTCGACTGAGTCCCCTTATTTTTCGCACGTGGTTTCTGGCTCATCTCCGACCGGTGGCCCGGAATGGGCTGAGCGGGGTTCTCTTTGGTGCCCGGCTAGCGTAGAGTGACGGATGATATATTGTTGGGAGGAAAATCTCGAAATCGAGGTTTGTATAGTGAAGGAGACGTACCGGGTAGCAGTGCCGCTTTAGGCGATCGGGCGAAGGCGCGCCATCGCCTTAGCGTCTTGGGATGGCGAAAAAGACGGCTAGATGGCAGATTTTTCAACCCAGCAGAGGTGGAATATCCCAAGAGCAAGAGAGAACCAAGAGTCAAATTTAAATTGTGAGGCTGGGGTGGGGGGAGACTTCTTTTCCCGGTGAAGGCGATTCTTTATTGCAACTGCGTAGTAAAGGGTCTGCGCAATAAAACGATTCGGCATGTGAAATGGTAACCGATTTGCTTGAGAACTTTTGTTCATGCAGAGGTTGCCTCCTGGAGAACTTAATATTGTGACATTCATTCCGGGATAGTTTTCTAATTAGTCGTAGATCTGGATAAACCGGAACACATTATAGTTTTTTTTGGTGTGTGTTTGCGTGCCTGCACGCTCTCTCTCTTTCCCCCTTTGGATTTATCGAGTAGAAGCTGAACTAGTGGCATTACATATTCTCTTGCTGTCAAGCACCCTGATAATTTACCCCAGTGAATATGAGTTTGCCACACCTTTAGGGTTAAACAGTTTTCCTTCGAAGTTCTTACTGATACCACAAAGGGGGGGGGAACCCATGATACAGGAATTCTGCCCCCCTTAAACTGGTTTAGTGTGTGGCCTATGGTTTCAGTGGGGGGGGGGGGAGGACAGAACAGGTTCATTTAGTGTGGATTAAGCGTCCCTTTAGAGTCTCTATAACTCTTTTGCACTTAAAATCAAGACGGTTAAAGACAATAAGGGGGTAGACTTTTAAAAATCCTTTGATTCATGTGATGTGCGGTTTGCAAATCCACTTTATGCAGCTGTCTGCATGGAATCAAGGTGTGGCTGTTATTCTTGATCAGTTAATCTGGAATTTTATGTGTATGCTGGTTGTGTTATATGTAATCCCTTCCTCTGCTTCTTCCACTTTTTCCTGTGGTCTTTGTCATTCACAAGGGACCATGATATGTTCCATATGGTGTCTTTCATGACACAGGATAGTGAATTCCACCCATAGGTGGAACCACAAAGTATCAGGATGGTTCACTAGAATGAAGCAAACACTTGAGGCAGCTCTCTATCTGCTATTCTTCTAGCTTTCTTTTTAGAAGAGACCACCCTGAGTGTGAAACATCCCAGGACAGTTTTTGTTCTCCCCCTGAAGAGCTCTTTGCACTTAATCACATGGTAGTGTCCCACATTAACCTGTGATTAGCCTGGATTCCTGGCCTCATTTTTGTATGTGATCCCCTTCAGAACTTGTCGTTACAGGTTTTACTTTTGTGCTCCATTAAGTGACAACGCAAGCGTACATCCTGACTTGCTCATCTGGGACGATGCAGGTCTCCCTATTTATTTTGACAACGCAAGCGTACATCCTGACTTGCTCATCTGGGACGATGCAGGTCTCCCTATTTATTTTAGCTCATGTCTTGCTCTATCCCAAAGGCTCAGGATGAGTAACAATACATTTTTAAAATATAGTAGAATACAGTGAGCTCTACAGCTTGGTGTAGAGCCAGTTTGGTGTAGTGGTTAAGTGTGCGGACTCTAATCTGGGAGAACCGGGTTTGATTCCCCACTCCTCCACTTGCACCTGCTGATGTGACCTTGGGTCAGTCACAAGCTCTGGCACAGCTGTTCCTGAAAGAGCAGTTTGTGTCAGAGCTCTCTCAGCCCCACCCACCTCACAGGGTGTCTGTTGTGGGGAGGGGAAGGGAAAGGAGTTTGTAAGCCGCTCTGAGACTCCCTTGGGTAGTGAAGGGCGGGGTATAAATCCAATCTCTTCTTCTTCTTCTCTTCTTCTTCTTAATGTTAGCCACTAAATGCTAGCCAGCCTTTTAATTTTAAATTCTACTCTTTCAAAATGCATCCAGCCAAGGGCTCTGATGAACTTTCAGGGAAGAGGAATTTCACAACCTCTGTTACCATCTGTAAAGAGTGCCATCCTGTATATCCTTAGTGATATATGAATGCAA